GGGGCATCCGGGAGAATTGCTATAAATCAGTTATCACGATTCTCTCAGAGCTGTAAAACATCTAATTTTGTAGAAAAATGTTTGCTCTACAAAATACATTTGTTAAAAGAATTCCAGAATCATTTCTAAGAAAACTCGGTGAATATCAAGAGTTGTTAATGTTGTGTGTATTCTCAAAGCATTTGCAATTGCTTTTGCCTCTTCATCGGATACACTATTCCAGTAAGTGTCAAGAGTAGTTACTGTTGTGGTTATTCTCATAGCATCTGAAATTGCTGTGTTCACATTCAAGGCGTCTACAAATGATTGACATACAAATGATGACATGAGAATATGAACTTTGAAGAAAATCTTTTACATCTTTGTTTAAAAAAGCCTTAAAATATCAACCAAACGTTGCGAAAGCCTGAAGACTTGCGTTTATAGGCAACGTTACACCGACAATCGAACAGACATACTTACATGGGAAAATAAAGTTTGATCATTCTGTGCGGTTTGGATGCACTGATACGAACGTCTCTTAAGATGATATTTATCATCAGTCTGACAAAGTCCTTCTACTATCAAAATCTCATACGTAAGATTGAGTCGCCTTAAATGTGATAAATTCTTTTGAATTTTTCAAAGCTCTGGGATTCTTGTTCCCTCTAGTGGGCATTGCAGTATCTACTAGATGATACAAGGATGCAAAGTTCTCACAATGTTCAGCTTACCTCAATCATTTTTTCAGCAGACTCGATTGTAAAACTGTCTCAATTGACAGAAGGAACTCTCCCTCGTCTTGGAAAAAGCTATATTTTTGAATATCAGCAAATAGTTTCGTCTTGGACGACCTAGTATCAATATTCATAATAAGCACTACTGATTCTTTTTCTGGTCTCATACTACCATCACCGGCAAACGAATATGCAACCTGTATATATTCGGTTGTTGATAGAAAAGTATTTATTGATATACGACCACCAATGTTGTTCTGAATCATTTCAAATTCATCGGCGGGCATTGTCATACCTCGATAGACCGTGAGGGGTCGTGGTAAGGATTGATTTATATAGAGATCATTTAATTCTTGATGTAAATCAGCTAGAATAAATCGAAATTTAACCAAGACGTCAATGTTTTCTGTCCGACATGCTCTATTGATAATTTTATACAAAAAACAATCACGTGTATACCAGCTTATAACACTCTTCGAATTGTATTCTTTCTCGAAAATACCGATAAGTTGTAATTGTTTTTCATTTGTTTTGTATTGTAGACGACATAGTTCAATCATATCCGCTTTTGCAAGAAGTGTCGAATGATTTGGTAAACGTAATAAGATATCAATCAATAACTGATACCACATAAATTTAACATTTTCTTTGCTTAGATCCCATATTGATTTTTCTGTTGAATCTAATGTGAATATGTTTGCCGATATCGGTTGTTGTTTTGAAAATAATTTGACGTCATCCGTCAATTTCGAAAGTAAATCGTTCACTTTACCAAATGAACCATGGATTTTCTTATATTGTTTTATCCATTCCGCATCATTATATGAATACTTAACTCTGTTATAGATATAAATATTTATTAATTGTTCAAGACGCTGAATCCGTGGAATGAATCGCTGGCCAAACGACGATGAAACAATAAAAAATAGTTTTTCGTTTTTATTTCTTGATGTCATATAATGAAAACAATCATCACAATTAGAAAATATTTTCAAATAATTAATAATTTGTTCTAATTCTATTCGTAACTGCAGTGAGTGTTCTAATTCATACAGAGATGAATCGAGCCAAATAAGAGTTAGATCTTCAAAATTTTCTTCCGTTGATTCATCAATATCTTGCTGTTTGCTGTTTTCATGCTTCCTTACTTATATTGTGTGAAGCATTTCAGTAAGAGAAATTGCAACTGAAAAAATTAGCTGTTCAAGTACAACATCATTTATTCATTTAACTGATTATCAGACGCTTGGGCACCCGCGACACTAGGATGCAAATCTATTATTTTACTATCTGACCGACCATGTAGAAACTCTTATCATTATAGAAGGGAATTTTCTTGATTGGCTTTGGGAATGTTGTAGGATGTTTCTAATGAATTAAATTATGCATGCTTAGGATAACAGGACTAATTAATCAGTCATTAAGAAAAACTAAATTTTTTTTGTAAGTATAGGAGAAAACTGTAGAATAATAAGTGTAGTAAGAGGGGGGGTGCTGTATAACTCAAAAGCAGGAGCTGTGTGGTGTGTAATGTACTTTGTAGTTTACTATAAATGAGAATAATGTGTCTGTTTACTTGCAGTTTGTAAATTTACTTGGAGATGTACGACACAAGCATTTACTAAGAGTGCATTTCTTAAAAATACGATGCATAATGATAAAATTTTATTTTAAATAAACTTGATAGGATGTGAGAATTTTTTCTATATTGTTTCACTCCTGTACTATATTTACAAAGCCCATTAAAAGTCTCGACACCCTATATCTCGTGATTCATGACTTCATATGTTGTGTAATTGTACTTCAACATGAATGCTGATCACCCAAGTTGATGTTTAACTAAAACAGCTAATTTTGAGAGCTCTGCTACTTATGTATCACTCGCGCATTCGATTGCTGTATTACCCACTGAAAAAAAATTTACAAATTCCTACGCAGGAAGCTCAAAAAATCCTGTGAATGTTAGATATATGGCGATGATCAGTCTGGCCGGAAGACCTTTTGGGGCATCCGGGAGAATTGCTATAAATCAGTTATCACGATTCTCTCAGAGCTGTAAAACATCTAATTTTGTAGAAAAATGTTTGCTCTAC